TAGTAGGTCTCTACCCAGTTCTCTTCTCCATTGAGTTGCATGTTCCTTTCACGCAATCTTACGTACTACGCAATGATGGCAGTCTTTATTATTAGTCGAAATTCTAGGGATTGGACGTCGTCTGATGGCTGACGTCGTTCCGGAAGCCGAGGAATTCGGTCATGATGTCCCAATGGATCCCGTGATGGAACGAGAAAGTAGCGAGCATTCCGAGGAATTAGAGGTTGGTCTTATTTGGCATTTCGCCAATTCTCTGGTTTTTCATGTTGGCTTTCTTTCAGAGTGCAGTTTTTACTCTCTAGCTTTGTCGCTATTAGTTTTTTCTCGCCACAAAGCTTGCTTTTTCCTTTTTTTTTTGTTAAGTATTTTATGAATGCTTTGCAGCTCAGTGAGGCTCATGACTCGGAAGATCATCCTGACGACGCTGGTGGGGAGCCTTCTGAACGCTTCAGTCGAAATGAAGAGGCTGGTCCTGCGGAACCCAAGCACACCACTGAATCCCCGATTGAACAAACGTTACCTGTACGTTGAAATCCATTGGTTTTTATGTATTTATCTACTTACTTTTTTTCTTCGTTTGGGTAAACCACTTGCTAAGGTTTTGCATCTTTCACGCTTTTTTTAACTTTCCTATTTTTCTTCTTCAACTTGAGTTAAGCTTCGTTTTGCATACTTCTTTTTAAAGTGATCTTAGTGGGAGCACTTCATATGCATTTTTCCAACTAAGAAAGTTTTATGTGAGCCTTCATCAAAGCTTTTTGCAACTACCATGGAAAAAGGAACTAACTACAAACAAATCAGATACATTATAGCCAAAGCCGAGTTTTGATTGGGACGCTTACCTACGAGAGCAAAAAGCTGAAGCAGCGCCTCGTGAATGTTTTTTTCAACCAGAGACTCCACCAGAGAATAAGTTTCAAATTGGAAAGAAATTGATGATTGCTGATCCGAGAGGTATGATCTAACTTCATTTATTAATTTGAGTTTTTTTTTTGAAAGTATGGGTCTAAAATCAAGAGCTTGATTCGCTAAGTTACCAGATCTAGAGGATAGTACATAGTGGTCCTAGTCGACATGTTCTCACTTCTTTATCAGCAGCTAAAATAGGACTGTAGGCTTGACTAGACATTTTCCAGTCCCTTTCGCTTCCTTAATTAAATGACAGCATCGTTTGAAACTTTGGGCTGTTACAACACTCTTTTTAAAACATTCCAAAACTATTACTTCTGCTCTCTTCAATGCTAAACGTTTCGCTATCTGAAAATGCAGAAATCACTTTTTTTT